CGGCTGAGGGAGCTGGGGTTGTTTAGTGTGGAGAAGAGGAGGCTGAGGGGAGACCTTATTGCTCTCTACAACTACCTGAAAGGAGGTTGTAGCGAGGTGGGGGTCGGTCTCTTCTCCCTAGTGACAAGCGACAGGACGAAAGGAAACGGCCTCAAGCTGCGCCAGGGGAAGTTTAGGTTGGATATTAGGAAAAACTTCTTCACCAAAAGGGTAGTCAGGCATTGGAACAGGCTGCCCAGGGAAGTGGTTGAGTCTCCATCCCTGGAGGTATTTAAAAGACAGGTAGACGTGGTGCTTGAGGACATGGTTTAGTGGTGGACTTGGCAGTGATAGGTTAACGGTTGGACTCAATGATCTTAAGGGTCTTTTCCAACCTTAACAATTCTATGATTCTATTTCCTTAGGAAGCCATGCTGAAAAGCCCTGCTTGGAAACCCTCTGATGCTTTTTTTGCATGCACAACAAAATAGGTCCACCTCCCTGGGCTCAAGGAAGAAGTGCCAGGCATTTGCTACAAACCTAAGCATGGGGTTATGGACTGGGGTCTAGCAGCCTTCCCTGGCTGATCTTCACTCCTAACAATCACATCAGCATTTGGAGAGAACAAGCTCATCCCAGTCTCTGCTGGCAAAATGAGGCAGGCAGGTATTGGGAGATGAGGGACTCTCCATGTGGGCAGCTGCTCCAAGGCTATGGTCAGCATGAAGCTGGGGAAAGGAGAGGGACTGGGTGCCTGCCATCAGCACTTCAGCCCTGGCTCAGCTTGATCCACACCAGCTCCGGCTAACTATAGCCGAACACCAGGGATTAACCCCAGCGATATGTAGCATTTCACTATTTTTTTTTAAAGGAATTATTCTGGGTGTCTTTGTGCCCTCTGCCATGGCTGGATGCCCCTGCCAAGGAGCAGCTCTGGGCTGTGCATGGCTGCTGCTGGAAGCACAGGCTGCCCGGGTCTCTAAGGGTTAAGGCAGGCACAGCACAGCCTGCTTTCATGCTCTTTCTGGAGTTTGTTTTTCTCCTTCGGGGAAGGCCATCCTTAAAGAGACACTGACAGAATTAAAACCACAGACACCTGCATACAGGGGCGCAAAGCAGACATGGAGAGTTTCCTGCTGCTATTTACACCACCTCGAAATCTTACAAGCAAACCCGAATCATTAGGAAAATGCAACAAACCCCTCCACTGCCCAGTTTTGCTGTTACCATCGGGTCCTGTTCCAGCAGCATTTCCAGGCCTCGAATCAGGGACATTGGGAGCAGCGAGCACCTTCCCCAGAGGAGCTTGCAGAGGAGCATCACTACGGCTGCTGAATTTTACTGCCTGTTTCTAGTCCATAGAGCTGCCCTGCTGCTCGGAGCCCTCTGTCCGTGCCTCACTCTTCCTGTCAGCAAAAGCACCCAACGCCTGTGCTCTGCAGAAGATGACTTGAGCTCAGAGTGGCTTCTTCTTCGTGCAGCACTTCAATAGCAACAAGCCACCAGCAAAGCTGTATGGTGTTATTAATTTGGCCCAGGCCTGCCAGTAGCATTCAGAGCACTGATTTAACGATGGTTAAATATTGATGATGTTTGTAAAGCACTTTAATCCTGAGAGGAGGAGGCACCCATAAGGATGAGGAATTACTGCTATTTACAAGGCACCACACATGCAATAAGGCTCTGCTGTCTAAATTCCTCGCCACAGACCCGTGGCTCCTACCATTTCTACCAGGGGCTTGCAACAGTATTTTCCCCTAAGTCTTGGCTTCAGGCATCAGATCTTTACCTGGTGTAAACCTTGGTGTAAATAGAGGGTTTCTCTGTGGTGAGGATCTCACACCCTCCCAGCTGCCTTGTGGATGGGGGACCCTCACACACTGGAAATGTCCAGGGGAGCAGGAAGACCCATGTGGGCACAGACGTGTGCCCAGAGCCCTGCTGCCCAGTGTCTGGGGTGCAAACGCAGCCACCTCCACCCCCCCACCGCCGCACACCGTCACTGCACACAGCTGTTCCCCTGGTCAGAAATAGAGCCAGCCTCCCAGGGCTGCAGATATTTAATTAGCTGGATCTGTCATTCGCAGTGCTTGCTGCTCCCCCTGGCCCCAGGGAGCAGCTGCCAGGCATTGAGGAGCCCTGGGAAACAGGCATAGCAGGCAGCAGGATCCCTCCCAGCACTGCCCATGCACCTCTGGGATGTCTGCCCAGAACTGACTCAGCCAGCCTTCGAAGTGTTAATCCAGCTGTGCTTCTTCCCCTTACCTCTGTTCTCCCCATCCTGCGCAACTCTGTCCTCCTTGGCAGCCAGCTGAGACTGTGCCATCAATGCCCCTGAGAGGGTCAGGAGCCCCGAGGTGCTGCTGACCCCGCTCAGGCTAGAAGGCTGCATGCTGGAGGGGTGGGGTGTCAGCGGGATGGGGGATGCATGGTGGGAGAGGTGCTGAAGCTGCTGCTGCTGAAAGAGAAAGAGCAAATGGTCCTCGATCCGGGAGGAGACAGCCGCAGCCAGCCATGCCGGAAGCCCTCAGCTTCCTGCATGAACTGCAATGCAAAGCGCAATGGGATGAGACGCAACGTGAGGAGAAGGAGGGGAGCAGAGCTGTCAAGGCTGCGCAGTCCAGGTCACATCGCTTCCCCTTCCACCCAGGGCACCTTGAGTACCTCCCTGCTGTGGATGTGATCCTGACACATGGCAGACGAGCCCAAGCTGTGGCTCAGCCCTGCTCTGCTCAGGGTGGCAGGGGCCAGGGAGGATCCCAGAGGCCATCCACCGTCTTTGGGACACAGTGGCAAACCCCCTCACTGCCGGGGACCAGCCCTAGGCTTATCAAAGTAGTAAAGACCCTGGCTTCCCCCATCACTGCACTCTGTGGTCTCAACCCCCAACAAGGAAAGAGCCTTTGCCCGCAGCTGGACAATGGGACTCACCCCGACGATGCTGTTCAGTTCCCCCATGGTCACCTGCTTGGCCCGCTCCACAGCCTGCAGGACCTGCTGCTGGTGCTGGGAAGGAAGAGCACGGGGAGGTCACACTGTGTTCCTGGCCAGAGGGACCACAAGACCCAGCATTGCCCCAGCCGCCCAGGGCTGCGCAGCCCCCTCTCCCATCCCTCCAGCCCAGGTACAGAGGTTTTCCCCACCTCCCGTTGTTCAGGCTGGACTTAGGTTTGCCCCTTCCCAAGGGCCTTGAGAGAAGCCCGAGCAGTCCGGTGCACATCCCCTGCCTCCCCCCTTACCTCCTGAGTTAGAAAGGGTATAATCTGGGCGCAGATGGCACTCAGTCTCTTGACAATCTCTGCCTGAAAGAGGAAGCAGGTATCACCATGGATGGGAGGGCTCTGAGCCCCGTCCAGTTCTCTCCAGTGGAGAGGAAGGCAGCCAAGCATCCTGCAGACACACACAGCCTCTGCAGAGGAGATAAACTCTCCCCACCCGCTCAGCGTAAATCCTCCTGCTGCCTCTGCATCCCTGCTGGGATTTCCCAAGCTGCTGCCAAGGGAGGGCTCTGCCCAGGGCTGTGGGACCCTCCCAGGCTGTCAGGTTCCCCCAGGCACATGGGAGGGAACCCGACTCCTAAATCCCTCTGTGGATCCAAGCCAAGCCGAGCTCCGAACTGTCAGTCCTTTCGCAGCCCAGCTGGCTTTGCTCAGCCCAAACCCATCTTGGCTTTGTGGGCTGCCGCTCTTGCAGCCAGCGGGCAGGCTGGCAGGGGAGGAGAGCC